AATTAGCCGGAGGGCTTACGATGTCCGGGTGAGATTATCGATGTGAAAATTGCATGTGATGGTTCTACGGCCAAATGAAGGCTGATCCCAAAGTCGGAATCCTTCCAAGGTCAATCCCGCTAACCGCTACATACCATGAACCGCAAACGATTGACTTATTGCTGCGGCCGACAAGCTGGACTGAACATGTCAGAAAACACATGAAACTGTTTCAAAACGACTGATGCCGACAACCTTATGTTGTACAGCCAAAGATAGGTGTCAGGAAAACCAGATATCTAAGGAGGGCTTGAAACTTTTAGCCAACGGTTGAAGCGTTCTTCTTCATTAAAAATGGTCGTTCCATACTGTTTCTTATTGTTTATGCTCTCTCTCTGAGACATGTCAAGTGAAGTGATCGGGCATTCCTATGTTTCCATTTTCCCTGCTTCCCGTGTCCACTTGGCTTGCACGGTTACTTTCACTTGACGTCCGATGGTTCGTCTGGCCAAGGTGTGTTTGAGCCGACCGGGATATTTCTCTAAGATTTGAGCGGTGCAACTGTTTGGTCCAATATCTAGGGCCTAACTGAGCTTGGTAGCACCGTGCCACTGGCGAAATTCTCAGTTCTATGCAATCAAGTGGCGATCTCGTTCCGTTATGGGTTTACTTTTAATTAGAAGATCCAGGAGTCTATTTCGGTAAATGCAACTAACATCTGTGCATACAAGATTCTCAGTTGCTGAGCCGTTTTTGGCGCCTTGCGCAACACTGAAAAACGTAAGAGGAAGCGATTCCGCAAGACTATGTTGTTGGAATCCATAAATGTGTTCCAAAACGAGCAGTAGTCAGTTATTGACTTACGATGTTGGTAACCGATAGCACTGTGGTCAATTTGTGGCCGATATGCCGCTGGATGACACAGTGTAGCCAGAGGACTTCGGCCAGTTCGAAAGTGAGTACTGCACAAAAACAGCCTCCGACCAGCATGCAGCAGAAGCAACCGTCCGCCATTATCCTTACGTTCCGGTTCTAATTCATGTTGCCAGGTACACCAGATACACGAAGGCTTCTCGTTTTCGAATTCAAATCTTCGACAGACATAACATTATTTGAGCTTCTAGCTCGCCCCAGCAAATCGTTTCAGATGCTTTAAAACTCACCTTGGTGGTGTCAGACCCACAGTTGTTTGAGACATAAGCAGATAAGTCGAAGATATATCGACCAACTTCCCGTCCGTGGGACACTTACAGACTTTGCCTAACGATCCTCACAGGACAAATATCAACAGGTATATGGTCTCCAAGGGATCCTCTCTCCTGTGAATTAGGGGTGATGCCGTTCCCAACACATTTTGCACATTGGCCACATAAGATTCACAGCCGGAGTTGAGTGAGGATTGATGGAGTGGTTAACCAGACCAGTTTACGTTCATCTCGAAATCTTGTTTCGGAAACGCAGCACTCATTGGTGTTAAGCGAGTTGATTGTAAGCGCAAGGGCGTCTTGCTTTCTGGCTTCCTTCGAAGTGCGGATAATGAAAGCAGCTAGATGGGCTGGGCGTCGATGCCAGTAGGTTGTTTTCGAGTTGCCTAAGAATGTCAGTGCCGGATAATGTTTCCGCTGATGGTAAGGGTGAGGACGCGCAGTCACAAAACGCGCAGATGTCGCAAAACCGATACATAACAAACGGAGTTATGTGTCCTAATTGATGGGCCAACAAGAGGAAAGTTGTCAATGGATTAAGAGAAGCGGGAAAAAGAGAATGGGGTTTTCAGCTTGACCTCCTTAAGCTTGCCCACCATGCCGTGTGTGTCGTGCAACGTGACCTGGCTGACTGCTCCTCCTGACGATTGACATGGCCTTGGACTCTTTTTGGATGCTCAATTCACGGTTGAACACGGGATGGAATGCTGTCAGGGTGCCCACACCATACAAATCTCGCCAATTTTTCGGTGCTCCTCTGTTCAGTTGGGGGTGGCACTGATCCCCTGACTCAGCTCAGTTACCCCTGTCGTCGGAAGTTCCCTCTTCATCACAGCACTACCCTCCTCATCGAAATCATAACAATGTTCAAAAACTGATGATCCGCTGCCATCAGGTATATGGGGACAGAAAGAGTATTACCGTCGTATTTATAGGGTCACCACAGGACGTTTCAAAAAGCCGTGCTAGAGACTCCATGAAGGGCGAAAAGTGTTGAGCCAAGATACTCGGTTGGGTTTAGCCAACGTTTGTTTTGAAATCGGATCGAGGTCAGAATACCTAACAAGCTGGATAGTAATCGGTGTGCCATTATTACATCCTTAAACGAATTCACGTCGATCAGGCGATTTTATCCTAAATGTAGCGACCATGGCCATTGTGGCGTCTTTTTGGGTCGGCGTTTGCGCGAGTTCCTGAAGTCGTTCCTGCAGTAATCTTAGTGACAACTTCAAATACAGATGCTGCGTCTGCGGTACCGTGCGTTGGCTATGGTGGTAATATTGCCATTCTCCATAAAATTATTATATTGCAGGCGATTTTCTTGCAGTCTGTTTGGAATTTGATTTTGGAAACCACTTTGACTAGCATTTCATGCTGACAGAATTAGCAGTGTCTAATGATTGCAGAATCATTCCTGAGATTGATAAGACGCCGGTATTCGGCGGTAAGTATTTAAAGCGCAAACTCTGACCCTTGTTCAATTCGTTTAAGTAGTCGGGTTCGAATATCTGCATCGTGCGGCGACTAAAGACCAACCAGAACGATGAGGCCGTTGAATTTACCCTCGGTCATGATGCTGAGGTGAAAGTTCTCACATTCTCCGTTGAGCACGCATGCAGAAGTGATGAAATCTACAGTATCCCTTTTGGCAAGCTTGACACACTTATAACGAATAGTCAACAAGAAACTGTGCGCGCCAAAAATTCAACAGTACCTGTCAAACCAGGATCACGAGATGTTTTGGGACCATGAAATTTGTGAAGCGGCCATGTTCAGCTGACCCAAGTATCCGCAGCAACGTTCGAAATTTTCATGCATCATCAAACTGAGCAAATTCGCTTCGAAACACTTCCTCATATTTTTCGAACTCACTTTTGAAATTCCGTTCAGATTCAGCGTCGAAACTATGTTCAGTTATCGATTTGTCTCAGGCTCTGCGGAAGAAATTCGCTTAAGTTTTCGTGGCGCGGTCATCGACATACTACACATCAGAGATTCAAAAAGCCGTAGTTGATCTTTTTATAACTTCTTCGAGTTACTTGGAGTTGCCCTACCGAAACTGACGTTGTGGTTGCCGCCATTTATTGTCTTGCGTAACAGTTGTGCAGCCGTCTACCCTGGGCTTACTGCTACGCCTACTGTGATATGTCAGAGAGCATGGTAGCTTCACACATCCATTTTATGACGACGAAGAAAGTTTATTACAGCCGTAATCACAGGATAATCACAGAATGTTCCATAAGATTCGTGAGGAGGCTCGATCCAGATTGGTTGACATTCTGACCAATGAAGGCATGCCTCCGTTTGGTCCGTAGCCCGCACTTGATATCCGTACTGTTACCGTGATGTTCAGTCATTAGTGTGGTATAAGTTTGATTGGTTGATATGTAAGTACTGATGATGTACAACCTTGCCTACTGGGCTTAGGATCGTGATATTTTTACGTCTTCTATCCACAGAAATTTTGGATAACTGCCCCCCGGTGCTTTCATGGTGTGGATACTACTTTAGGGGCGGCTGAGCCCCCAGGCGGGATCACATCGGATTGTTCAAAGATGTGACTCTAGGTTTGGTGGGAGGGCGAAAACTACATCGGACACCAACAAAGATCAGGAAGACGTTTACGGGATGTGAGATAGGCCAGGCATTCGTTTGCTCTACATTAACATGGTAAAACCAAGATCAAAACCATCTTCGGGACACAGTTCCGGGTTTTGATGTCAGATGACCACAACTTCCCAGTGATACTTGAGTTCAGACTAACAATTCAGAATGTACCTTTTTTCTTGGCGCATCAACAATGGTTTTCGCGATAAAGGTCTTCATTGACCCAACTGCATGGGTCTTTTTTTGGTAAACAACTCTTCAGTGGAGACTCCTTATAAATGAAGCCGAGAAACACGTACGACTGTACATCCTTATCGGATGTCAACGACGACGCCCATCTCAGGAAAATCCAGGGAATTTTGGATCCACGATACCTGGCTAGTAGTTGAAATGCTAGCTGTTAGATGTGACTCTAGGTTTGGTGGGAGGGCGAAAACTACATCGGACACCAACAAAGATCAGGAAAACGTTTACGGGATGTGAGATAGGCCAGGCATTCGTTTGCTCTACATTAACATGGTAAAACCAAGATCAAAACCATCTTCGGGACACAGTTCCGGGTTTTGATGTCAGATGACCACAACTTCCCAGTGATACTTGAGTTCAGACTAACAATTCAGAATGTACCTTTTTTCTTGGCGCATCAACAATGGTTTTCGCGATAAAGGTCTTCATTGACCCAACTGCATGGGTCTTTTTTTGGTAAACAACTCTTCAGTGGAGACTCCTTATAAATGAAGCCGAGAAACACGTACGACTGTACATCCTTATCGGATGTCAACGACGACGCCCATCTCAGGAAAATCCAGGGAATTTTGGATCCACGATACCAGTTAGTTGAAATAGCTAGCTGTTGTACCACGAGTGGCCGATCAGCGGTGTGAATAATTAGCACTTTTGTCTTTCTGGTTCACGGCGTGCGTGCTTCCACACGTGCATGTGTCCGAAGATACATATGTATTACTATGCCGATGTGTGCGTATCGCGAAATCTACGATCGATTCTAGTCCCATTTTTTTGCAGTCAAATAAAAATCACCATGCTTTCTTTTCAGAAGTGGATGTAGGTCGCTTCTCAATCCCTGAAGACCTTCAAATGCGTTATTGCTTCTTTATCCTACTTCCGGGGCTGCTCTGTCTCGTGCCCCAAGCCTCCAAGACACGCCCAGTGATAGCCAAATTTAAGACACTAACTTCGATCCTTGATGGCTTGATTTCCTACTACAAGAGGCACCAGAATGAAGTAACTGTGGATGGAATTTTCGGCCCACTGATACTCCAACGTTCGTTGCACTTATCTAACCATCCATGCACTTTTTACAGACACTGTTCGCAGAATTTTGGATGTTCATTCATACCCGTGGACGCTCCAAAATCAGTTGTCTTACCAACTAGAATCCCTTGATTCTGTCATTTCATCTGCACTTCCAGCAATCAAACAGAAGGACGAAGTTTACTTTGAAAAGCTTAGCCCGGTTTTACAGCTCGATTGGAGTCCTAAGTTTCCATCTGTCTTTTCTGTTTCTGAATCCTATGAACAGTGGGCCTCCCCAGTTAATGGTGTATTCACCGAAGATGTCAGTGATAACTGCTTGCATGAGCTGTTCAAGTTGAATTTAACGGAGCAGCGTTGCCATCTTTCAGTCGCATGCAAATCTGCACTCCTCACACGTAACCTGGGTGGCTACGAAGCTACTCACACGGTGCTTTATCTTACCGTTATTGAACTGGTTGGTCACTTCATAATAATATCCTAGTTTTTCAGCTCGACTGCCAAAATATTGTCAATGGACAATTCCTTGAATATGGGACAAGCGTGCATTCCTTGATAATCGACCGATGTGCCGAAATATACTCGTCCTTTAGAGCACTGCTTCGGGACGATGCCTCCTCCATCTACGATAAGCGTGATCTTTTGTTGGAGCAAAGTAAGGGTTCTTTTCCAGTGTCATTTCCAGTGCAACTAGATTGGTGTTATTCACAGAAAACTTTTGAATGATTCCACGCGTGAATACCATTGAATCATGAGTGAGCTGATGTATCCATGTAATTAAACAGTGTTATTAGTCGAACTGAACGCCATCTGAAATCACGTCCTTTGGTGACCACATGTTGATTAAATCCTAGGCGCACTGTTCGGTGGGCGTGCCCTCTACTTTAGAAAAACAGCCCTTTAGATGTTATTCGTTCATTCTTTCCCACATACACCGAAGTATTGCCAGTAGAATTGATACTCCGGATATCCACTTTGCAGTTTTAATTTTACTGAATGTTTTATCATAGGTGTTGTAATGCTTTGTCTACCATGGGCGATATTTTTAATCTGAACGAGAACTGGCCCCGGAAAGAAGACAGACGGGTCCCCATCGAGGGTGTGATCCTTATTTTTTTATGGCTCAACTGGAAAGCCACTTGATTGAGGTCCATTTCAGATTGCTTGATCGCCATTGTTTCCAGTCGTCCCTCCTGCTTGTACCACGAGTGGTCTATTTTAGTATGTCACGTCTGAAACTTTTGATGTGACATGGTTGTTCCTGTTCGAGGCCCATTAAGAAGTGCCCAGTTATTCTCAAGCAATTTTGTACTGGACAGAGTGGTTATAGCCCATCCAACCTCGTTCAAGAGGAATCGCATTCGTACTGTTAATTATAGGAATCATGTTCCGCGTACGTGAAATGGTTCAAACCGGTATTTGGTCAGTTCGTCCTCCGCACCATCGTCGAGGCCAACCCAACTTCCGACATATGACTAGTGTCCCACAACCTTTAGTGTTACTCGTTGATTCCTTAGATGTATGTTCAATGACCGTACCTTCCGCAGCACGACTCTGCACCTTGTGAGGCTTTTCAAGCAGTAATTACGCTTCTTTCTTTTCAAAAATAAAGGCGACATCGTCTGCATACTTTAAATAAGTAGGGTTCTTGCTCGGAAAGCTATACATGGGAGGTTTTGAGGACCTCTCAGTATTCAGCTCATTTCCCCATAAATGACAAATTTAAGCAAAAGTGAAGAGATTCGGCATCCTTGTTGAATATTACTGCTTGTGGGAAAGCTTCTGGAGAACTTACCAAAGGCTTCTGCGCACAAGTAAGTGAATACAGAAACTGTATAATGTTGATAAATTTCTGGGGCATATTCTTTGAAAAGAATGAAGCGGTCAGCATAATCAAAGATACTCTTGAAGGCAAGGAACACGCTTGTAGCGAGTCTATGTGCGTGCCGTTAACACTCATCGTCTTCAGCACCGTCATCATCATCATTCCCTTCTGTCTTGTCGTACAGTGGTTTTATGTGCCACAGTTTCGTCCACCGATGATTTGGGGAGGCGGGAGCTGATAAATTGGTGCGTAAATACAGGTTTGTCAGTGGACTTTTAAGCAGGGGGTTGGGGAGGGATCTATACGTTGAAGGCAATAGCTTGGGTGCATGCGCGCCGTTGAGGGTGCAACTGGGCGACTTATGACCATTGATGTGATCCGTCTCGGGGTTCCCATCCAGGGGGAAGGCAATGCCCAACGCATCTGCGTTTGTTGGTAATGGTTTCCACACTTCTCTGTCGTACTTGTTGTTTGTTGACATGAATTTCCTGACATCAATCTGGACTAGCGAACTCGGCTACATCCGGTGGTCTTGCGGTCGAATCGAAGGACTCGGACAGACAGCACTACTCACCGTTACTATAGCTCCTTTCAAATCTTGCAATGCTTCATCCACGTGCTCACCACCAGTACGTTGTCGGTTGACTGTGGAAAGTTGGGCTAGCTCAGATCGGTACGGTTGAGCTATGGTGATTCTTCGAAGATGGTGGATTTGAATCCTTCTTTCTGACTTGCGAGGGTCTGATGAAATCGGAGTCTCAGGCGTGCACGCACCACTTTGTGGTCGGACTCACCTCGTGTACCCCAGAATGAACTGCAGTCTTGAACTGTAGCTCTCCACAGGTGGCTGATATCCACGTGATCCTACTGGGCGCATGGTTGTTTTGCAGTCGGCGTCTGCCAGGTTACGCGATGCCAACGTTTATGCTGAAAGTTCGCACTGGCCAGAAACAGTTTATGATCAGCACACAATTGGAGGAGTAGCCCTATGTTGTCTGTATGACGAGCACCGATCCCGAATAGACCGCCCAAATGTGATTTCAAGGAGCTCAGACGACCGATTTAAGCAATCATGTCACCCGCATGTATCACAGTGTCGGTGCTTCTTGCTCGGCGAATGAGCCCAAATAGCTCTCGATAGAAGGCATCCTTCTCAGCGTCAGAACTATAGTCCACTGCAGCCCACACTACAAACAGGCACCGATTTTTGTGCCGAGAGGTATTGAGTTGGATTGAGCTAAATTACCGGACGGAATAAGGACAGCTGTTCGCTGGAATCCGATCCAGCAAAGCGCGTTCAGTTCCGGGACTGAGTGCAACTCCCACACCATATATTCGACGAATCATCGCTTCTGGACCACCGGACACAAGGTGAGAGAAATGTGAAAGAGCGTTCTGAGATGCATAACTACGCTAGGGTCTTGTGTGCCTGTTTCGGAGGCACAGCATACAACAGTTCTCAGGGAGTACAAGGTTTCAGCTAGCATTGCCTGTTCGCGTAGCTGACATAGATTTCGGACGTTTAAAACTCATCAAAAAAGTACCTCGTGGATCTAGCAGGGTCTTATTTTGTTTATTGTTAAAAGGCAGCGGGAAGCATAATGCCCTTCGCTCGGAACTGACTGTCAAATAACCCAGCGACGTTTGCTTTTTTGGTGGGAAGGGTCTGGGGGGACATTAGTGGACACAGAACTGTGCGGGCAAATGATGCTTCTCTGTTGCCTAGGCTGAGGAGGAGGATTTGGTTGAGGTACCCCACATTGAGTCTTTGATTCAAAAGTCTGATCCACAAGACAGCGGGAGAATGTCGGGTTTTGTTCGAGGACTCTACCCCCAGCCCCTGACTTGAAAGTCTGACCCACGGAGCAGCGGGAAATAGGGTTTTCTTTGGGGACCCTGCTTGAATGCAGGGTGTTTGCCTAACCAGAAGGAGCAAGGAGTAAAGCCCTACTGTCTCACCCCTGATGTGGCTTCTCACATCAAGTGCCTTTTGAGCGGCGCCGGGCTCTGGTTTTGAAAGTATTTCGACCGTATTGAATAATGTGCCGCCTGTCACGGTCAACTGTTGGTCGGTTGCAGTTCGGTTTTTAGGACAGATTTTTTCTAATCTGTCTTTCCTCGGAAGAAGGCAGCATAGCTGCTTCCCTGAATATGGACCTATCAATCGTGTTGCTGCCGCCGTAAGATGACGAAGAAACAGTGATGCCAGGAGCTTTGTTACGGTGGGGATTAAAGTAAAACCATTGCGGTTACTACATTCACTGCGAGTGCCTTCTTTGAAAATTAGCAGTACTATCGACTCACCTCAGTTGTTTGAAATGGTCTCTTTCTCCCTGATAGACGCAAACAGGGTAGACAGACACTGGCTGAGCAATCCACCACTCCATGTTTGGAGCGCGAATTTACTGGCCGGAAGGTACGTGGTTTGAACTCGACCTTTGCCTCTCGACTTCCCCTCTCTAGGCTTGGGCAACCTCACAGTATCGCAGCCTTCGTGCTTCCTTTGGGTGGCATGGAACCTAGGCACTAAAAAGGTGCTTGACACTTGTGTGAACATGTACACCCGCGCATGTCTGTTGAAGGCGGGCAGTCAGGATTGGAGGTTGCAGGTGACCAATTGAATTTTTCGAAATACTGTGCCCAACGGCCCAATCGTTCTGCTCTGCTGGATATCACAGAATCACCCTGGTCCCTGATAATTTCGCTGACAAGAGACTTTCGTAGGCCAGTCGAACGAATCAAGTAGAACAGCTTGCGGACTTCACGAAGTGACTGGACCTTACCGTGGTATGGTGGTTTGTGTACCTCGAGGACCGATTGAGTCATACTGGGGGCTATCCGCAGAACTCTCACAGTCTGTCATACCAGATCGGTCAATGGGTAGAGGTCTGACGAACCCAGTCTCCTGGCCCTCCAGGTTGGGGGTTGGAACATGTTAGCAACGTGTTCCGTAAAAATGGTAATGCACTTGAATTTCCAGCTCGACGCCGCTGCCTTGCGGTTAGGCTTTTGAGCCAAAGACTTTGGTTGGCGACCCTAATCATCCTCCCTTCTAGATGTGGGCGCAACGGTAGTACCTCAGCTCTCGTACAGCCATGAAATCTACAGATAACAATACTCTCCTGTGGTGCCATAAACCGGGCCGCCTTACTTGCTGCATACGGCAGGGCGGATAAGCGAAAACATGCTACTGATGACCCCTCCCTGCATAAAATTTCACGTTTTCCGTCTTTCCTCTCCCCCCCCCCGCCCAAATTTGAATGCTTTCTCCGCAGATCCCAGCTCTAGGACTGGCCGTTTTGCTCTCCCTGCATCACACTCAGCAGTAGCTTCTGCACGTCCGAGTTCAGTTACAACCCTTAACACTTCGAAGTCTGTTTTCAAACCCCGAAAACAAGTCTACTTAATTGTTTGCATACTGAAGCGTGTAGCTCAGCAGCGGAAATCGCTGGACAACGTGGTGTTTACCAACAAAACAGCGCCGAATCCAAAGAGACCACATCGCCGTCAGTTATCGGTGACGGGGGTCGATTCCCGGCTACCGCTCCCTCTGGAGTACCAGCGTGGACTCCGACCATGCACGTGTACGTTGCTGCTTCTCATTGCGCTTTTCCGGTGTACGCAAAACGCGCACGACTCGGCTGGCTATTCAGAAGCTAGTGAACCGAGAAGTTAAACGAAACTATCAAAACCAGCTCTTCAAATGCCTGTCGGTCGGTACGGTGTCTGATATAAACGGCCACTGGAAAAAGGTATCCACAGCGCTGCTCAAAGCCGGAATTTCTGCTTGCGGTACAACCCAGCCAACCCCATCCAAGCATTAGATCTCTGATAGGACCGTGTCTTTGCTAGAGACCCGGCGACAGATTGCTTCTGGCCGGCACCACAAATTCACCAGGCGCATCATCCGACGCCAGGTGAAACTGAATGACTACGCAGGCTGAGAAGCTTGGTGGACCCGAAAGGCCGAAGAAATGGAAGATGCAAATAATGCTGGAAACGTGTGCAAGCTTTTCCACTTGATTCGTATTACTGGTCCTTGGAAACCTCTAGTCAGCGAGATAATCAGGGACCAGAATGACTCCCTGATATGCAGCAAACAGCGTGTTTGGACCGCTGGACACAATACTTCGAACATCATTTCAGTTGGCCACCTTTTACCTCCAATCCAGAATCCTGGTATCCAACAGAAAGGTGGACTGTAAATATGGAGCCGCGTTCGGTCTCAGAAGTGTCCGAGTGTATTTCTCTACACAAGCGTCATCGTGCATCATCATCTTCATGACATCAGTGTTCAACACTGACGCTTCGCTTCCGCACAACGGTGATTTATTTGAAAGCCTTGTGGAACAGGTTAAGTCTCACAACCATATAACAAAACAGCTCGCACTGTAGCTTGATACACATTTCCCCTGAGATTCAGGGATGCACCACTTTGACACCATAGGTGTCTCAAATTAGCAAACTCGACCCAAGACTTGCAGATTTGCGCATTGACCTCATCTGTCACTTTACACTCAGAACTACTGCAATTTCCAACTCCATAACTTCCAGTGCATCTCCCTGGATTATAAGTGGCTTGTTTAGTGACTTTACTTTTTGGGTGCGCACACTTGGTGTCTTTTGAGCAGCACCGGATTTTTTAGTTTCAATAGCATTTCGACCGTACTGAATAATTCACCGGCGGTCACGGTCAACCGCTAGGCGATCGGAGTGTTCGGTTTTCTAACCCGTCCTTCTTCGGTGGAGGGCAGCAATGCTGCTGCTGGTCGTCCGGCTAAATGCCTTTCTGGCTTCACAGGCCTATCGCAGAGGACAGTACGACTTTACCGCCTCGTACTACGACTACTCGCAGTACGGGTGTAACGGTGATACTACTGATCGGGAGGCACGCGAGTAGTATGTGTTGTTCGTAGAATTTCACTTTGGGTCGATTGAAAAATGGAATTCTGTTGCGGAATTCGTGGGACCACTGTGGAACATTTGCTTAGATTTGACCAACGAATGGGTGGAGGCATCGAATCTCTACGAAGACTCGTTCGGGAGAAGATCTGTGTCCAGTTTTTGGAACTAAGATGCAGATTAGTGTTTTGCTTCCCTGTTCAATGGTCTGTAACCGGTCAGTTGGCATTTCCGAATAAATAACTCCACAGCAAGGGCCTTCTTCCTTTCACGGGTACTCACTTCGTCGGTCTTCTCCCCGTTGGCTCTCCTGGCATGAGTGAACCCTTAGGAACCGAGTTCCAGCCACCATAGCTCGTAGGATCATTGCAGCACAGAAGTCCGACCACGACGACAATGTGAGTTTTAGGTCGGACCTCTTTTGGTTCGTCCCTGCAGTGTGCAGAGTTAGATTACTGCTCTTCGTATAATCGGAAGAACGGATCGTGAATTAGATTGGATCACTCAATTTTTTTCGCCTATTTCTACTTTTTTCCGAGGATATTCTTGAGGTTATTGTCTCTCTTCAGTGTAATTTCGTATGACAAAAATACAAGCATGGTTGGACAGCGATGAGTGTGGCGCTTTCTTAATAACCAGCACTGTCTGCCGAAAGTGATTTAGTCATGTCTGCACCCCTTGGGATAGAATTGGCCAGTAGAGGATGGCGACTGTCAACAGTTTGGACGCATCTGCTGAAAACTGATTCTTTGGTGGCCGCGGTAGTTAGGATGTACACCCTTCTTAAAGGTGACTAGCTTGATGAGGATTTTCATTAAGTTGGGATTTAGCTTATCTCGACCAATAAAGACAGTTGGGTTTAGCTGTTGTGTTTCTTCCTAAACAGGGAATGTGTTAGTTTTCAGGTAGCACCATATTTCAGAGCTTGAGTTGCATATTATCTTTAGTAGCCTTAGCCGGAGGTGAAATGTCAGGACTCACTGACTGCTGTGCACAATTGTCTTCAGTACTTGTTGCTGGGTTCCCCTGAATCACTTTCTGTAATTCTACCCAGTGTTCCAGGCGGTTTGCTGTGCGGGCGTCATACCACCGTGCGCGACGCCACGAACTTTCTCGAACAATGTCTCGAACCTCGCGTTTTCTTTGGTTGCTTGGCCCTATAGGTCTTTGGCTATCATTTTTACCCCAACTTATCAGTTTTGATCTGAAACATTCTCCTACCATGATGAACTAACCTTTCTTGGCCTAATCGATAATTCATTCCTCTCGTTCTCACGCCAATGCAGTTTTCATCTGTGGCTTCCGAGGTTTTGATAAATTTATCGAACTGCCTCTGTTAGACACTATAAAATCCTGGCAAGATCCGTCAGGTTGTTTTGGTGGGATTGACCCTAACACGCGCGCAACAGCTAATAGCGGCAGGACACTTCTATTGGAAGAACAACTTGCAGGCAAGTTTGTCTGCTCATTCGATGTATATTTTTCATTTCCTTTTTTATTCACATTGTTTGAGCTGTTGTCTGTGAAATAGTATGAAATAGTAAATGCAGCTCTCCTAAAATTGGCCATCCTCACAGAACCTAGACCGTAATTCGCCGGTCTTTCCACTTTATATTAACTGCTCATTCTTTTCTTGGGTTTTCAAAGCATGTTTTCAGAGTTCTTCTATACTTATAGAGTATGAATGGAGAAGTACTGATGTATATACCGTTTTAAGCAATCCAGTTCGGACTGAATACGAGCGTTTTGAGTGTTATAAGTATATTGGAGGTATTTTTAGCTCCTATTGTTTTATAGAGGGAAAGGTGGGTTCACGAAATTCGCACGCCGTATAGCACTGTAAAGACATTAAAATCGGTGGACGTGAGACTACGGGCTACAGTGCGGATTGTTTTCTTTACGTGTGTGAGACGAACCCTGCTAACTGCACGACTAAAGCTTCGTCAAGTTTTTCAGAACTGATGTCTCAGAACCATAGCTATCTTGCCAATTTATTGACACCGAGCAGTTGAGCTTTCGGTTCCGTAGTTGGAGCGTAAATTGCACAGCTCATCCAGCACTGTAAACTGAGATGAATAGTAAGTGTGTCGTGCATATCCGAGGTATGTTCATCTCCATGCCTAACTAAAAAACCAATGCCCCCATTGCTGGAAATAAGGGCATTCAGGAGATTAAACCGCCGATTGTCTACCAGCCCCTTCTGAAACGATTGAACTTGGATAGCGCCCAGCTAACCCCGCCGTACCCTTATGGAAACACTGCATGATAAAGCCGATGATCGCTCTGAATGACTTTCCCACACTTCCACATTGCCTTCAAGCAGCTTATTGGGTTGGATTTTTGGAAGGCACAAATAAAGTTGGGTGGTTTAACTCTTCCCATGTTTTTTCCAATAAACTTAGAGCTTTTTGATGGCGATGATTATGATGATGGTGATGATCATGACCGTGGGTTTTGATCCGCGTTCGTACCTGCGCTATTCTGTGCATGTTTGTGTGTCTGTACGATTAATGCACTCACCGTGTTTTCGTTTTTGCAGATGGCTGCCTCACGCATTTAACATCAGTTGCAACTGCAGCACTCGCCGTATACCTTAACTACTTCCTGCGTCCATTCGACATTTCGGGGGAAAATGCCATTATACTGAGACTGCTTGAAATGTATTATCTAGTCCAAGGGAATACGTAAGTTGTACGATTGTGTTCTCCGTTTAAACTTTGAAAGTTCAGGCAACCATGGGACTCCGCTTCCCCAGATCAAGGTGGTAAACCGTACAGCAACAACCATAGAGACTGTAGGCTTTTGTTCGTCACATTCTTGGTGTTCGTTACTGCACTGTACCCCTGAACTTCCTACCACCTCCGAAGAACACCAGCTGACCGCATTCCAGTGTGATAGTAGAACCGTTGGAAAAGATTCCAGAAGATGGTTAAGATGTATTCGCCCAACTTCGGGACCTTTTCTTAGTTGCTTCTCAGTACTACTCCAGATGTTCGAGCCTTGCGCGACCCTGAAGAGCGAAGTTTGAAGCGATTCCGGATGAGTGCGTCGTGGGAATCCACAAAAGTGTGTCATAAGGAGCGGCAGTCGGTTTTTGATCCACGCCGTTGATAGCTGAGGGTTGTGTGATCAATTCTAGGCCGTGGATGGTACGTTGGTATAGGGCGATTTCGCTTACGATGTGAAAACATCTGCTGTCAATACACAACAGAAGTAGTCGTTCGCCATTGTCCATATCAAATATAATCCTAATCGGCTACTCAGTTGGATTTCATATGCGCGTTCAGATATCTGGCCACCACGACGTTATCTGAGCTTGAAGTCCGCCACAACATGAAAATCAAGGCGTGATAAGAGTTGTCTGCAGCCGCTTGGGGCGTATGCAGGCATGATAAATAGACAACTTCAACCGTTTGCCTGTAACATTCCCCCATGGATGAACGCACAGGTTTGACTATCCAGCGAAACAGGGTATTTTCCGACCTCTACACAACCCGCCACAGCACGAAGATGACGTTTCTCACAATACTTATCACCTCACAACATGGAGCCTTGATGTCTTTTAATATGCACATATGAGTGACAGAGTTTCTAGGGCCTTTATGATTGACTTGTTCAGGACCGAAGGCCCCCGAAAAGAAACTGGGTCAACGAGAATAAACCTGGCTGGAATCCGTTGTAAACTTACCCGTCGAACTCTTAAAGAATGAACACGACTCACAGTGGAATATTACTGTAACTGAAGACGAAAATCATTTGGGACTACTGTTCTCACACCCAAATCGTTTTCACCGTATCGTTTATGATCTTGTCAGATCCATAAACTCTTGTGACGCACCGCGCTATATACTTACCGCGTAACCGTGCTCTTATTCCTAACCAATTACGTCCTCTCTATATCCCGGTTTGCACCACTTAAACCTCACTGACTTGTCCTATTCACTCTCTATGTGGTACTTCACTCCTCGGATTGGTTTGGCACTGCTCAGCAAACTTAGAAAACAGCTTTTTATAAATTTCTTACTTGTTTTTTCCCGCCCGCTCCTTACTGCTCCGGGATCAGGTATTTATGTCGCAAGTGTGGCAGTACTTCCTTTCGATCGGACCAGTGCAACTCTCGAGACCATCCGGAAAGGGATCATTTCGACCTTCCCTCTCTCTCTCCTGAGGGGACTTGCTCTCCTCATATGTACTAGTTTGTCGAAAATTAAAAAAAATTGTGGGTGTTTTCGGGAATGTTCTTTTTTAAAAAGATCAGGTTTTTGATATTGTTCTTCGCTTGCGGCCCGTACGGAATTTCTCTAATTTTCTGCAGGAGGAATAGTATCGGCTTCACTCGGTAGCCGACTAGTGTAGCTGATTGCGTAACTTTTGACCCCTCCCTTGTTTTGACATCGTTTTCCCAAGAAAACGCGTACCAGTCTGTGAAATAAACCCGGGAAATTATTGCCCTACGATTGTACTGTCTGCTCGAAATCTGACTTTCATTCCCATATTCGTGAACCGTATGTGATGTAGACTTTGAGTTTGGGAAACTTGGGATGCCTTCAAAATCCACGTAGACTACCTGCATACTGTATTCATCATCATTAGCACGTCATTCATCAAAACTACAACATGGTAAATTACTCTACAATACAAATGGTAGAGAAGAAACAGTTTAGTACGATCTTGAACATCGTAACGTGAGGATAATTCGACACCTATGGATTAGTAATAATAGCTCCCCAGCTTTTCAATGGGAGCCACAGTCCAGCTGGATTAACTAGGTTCAACAAGCCCCAGACAGTTTAGATACCATGTGCGTGTTGACTTGTACTCACCATTCATGTGCTTTAGAATTGCGATGTAGTCCTGTATTTTATGACTGGTCAAATTGGAGTTTCTTAACGCGGAGAAAACAAGACCATAGGCCCTTGGGGGATTTTGGGTGGCTTCTTCAAAGTTTGATCTTCCTATGGGAAACTGTCTGGGACTATTTGCTGTGCATTCTCTTGGAAAATGGCCTCTCGGAGACTATTTCACCACAATCCAGACTAAAGACCTGTATTACTGTAGAGTTTGGTGACGTGGGCATTACCATTATGGCTCGTGTGTCCAACCACAAAAATTGCATGCACTGCGGGCCTTTCTGGATGGGTAGCTCATCCGAAGTTCAACCATTTTTGGGTCGCATGGTGGAATCTCTTGTGGGGCTTCACAGTACATTAAGGCAGTTCAACGAAGCAGAGGACTCTAATAAAAGAGAAACCTCGAGAAATCGGTCATTTCCTTTCGTTCTATTGAGGGTGTCAGTTTTTCCGTTAGAATCAACACCCCTGTTCGCTTTTGTTCGCTCTTATGACCATGATGCTTTGCTTTCTGTTATAGGACAGTGCCACCTCTGCTAGCGGACACACAACCAGAACAGCCCTCGGAACCTAAACAAAGATGGGTTCCATCCGTCGATGCAGACTTAATTTTTGAGCTTGGTGAACCTCATGGACTGTTTGGACTCATGGCACATCGGTATCTTCCATTTAGTCCGGTGCTACGACGTGAAGTTTCCATAAAGACGGCACAGTTCAATGTGTTGTGGTATTTTATGGGTTCTGTCATACTTTCTCTATTATTCCTGACCCTCGCTATCCATCTGTACCGACGCCTATCTAAGATTTCATGATTTCACCACGAGTAAATTGAAGTTGTGCAGATCAGAAAATTCACGGTCCTACGACTGTTTGACACATTCCACGTATATCCTCTTTGGCTTTTATGTTTTTTTAGTCGGAACCCATCAGCGCTGTGGAACCCCCCCTCTCCCATCGGGTTCACGACCCCGTCCTGCTTATTTTTGACATTGTTTCTGCACCTATTTGCGGGTCCAGGCCGCCTTATTCACCAGAGTTGTACGATGTACCGGGTTTATTTGTTACTTAGTGTTGATGTTATATGTATGCAGTCGATGTTTTACTCAAATCGCTTGTCCGTTATGAAGAGACTGAACCGTACCGTGGTATGATGGTTTGTGTACATCCGCAACCAATCAGCTATACTATGGGATGTCCGTTCGACAGTCGCACAGTTTCTCATACCAAGTTCGTCGGAGGTTAGAGCTTTGATCAACTGTTGTTTCTGACCGTGGCGCAACTTTTGTATCGGTCCTTGGCTTCCTGTCCGGCCACTATCGTGGGTTGTTTCTGACCGTGGCGCAACTTTTGTATCGGTCCTTGGCTTCCTGCTCCGCCCACTATCGTGTATCAAAAGACAAGGTACCTTGAGACAGCCCTTCATGTATACGAATGAAGATTACTGCACCCGTATTTAAAGGGCTATCACAGAATATTCCACAAGATTGTACTAGAATCTTCGTGAGGCGGTGGTGGGCGTCGAGCTATATATTTTGGATCCAGATTGGCTGACACTCTGATGAAGGGCTGTCTTTTTTCGGTCCGTAGCCCGCATTTGATACATCCGTCCAACCGACGTGATGTTCGGTTATTAAGATTGACTGGCCTCCAGACACCAATACAGCCTCCTGGCTCTCCAGGTTAGTGATTGGAACATGTGTGGCGACTGTTCTGTAAAAACTGAAATGCAATTGCATTCCTTGCCAGACCAAAACCAAATCGTTAGCATACGTTGTAACGCGCGTTGCTCAGCATCAACTTTTGAAAGATGTGTTTTCTGTGTCTAACCCAACCCGGCAGAATTGCCTGAAAACAGTTACATAAAGCCTAGACATTGTGAGCCTGACCATCTTGTAAGGTACAACTCATGTGACTCTCCCTGTGCGTGTAGCTGCCAACGTTACCACAGCCATAGTTGCCAGACGGATTGTGTGATTATCTGTGAGTATATGATCTTCAGAATGACTGCGTTGGACCAGCACTAGTTCCAGTACACTTTTTACAATGAAGGCTATCTTTGGCGGTAACTTAATTGTATTGTTTTTGCAAGTGTTTGTCAGGTGATCGGAGTTGTGTGAGGTGAGACTTATCTGCTGACCAGCATTTCATGTGCATTTAATTCATGTATGTAGGATTGGGTGGTAACTGGGTCCACAGCCAGTAACACGCGACATCCGGCTAGTCTAAATAGCGAATTGAAACACTGAAACGGAATGTCTTGAAACAGCCAAGTGTGGTTACGTGCCTGTCGTTCGGAACACGAGGAACTGTGTTTACTGTCCGTCTCCTTTCTTTTAGCGGTTTAATTACAAGACGTCTCGAAGTAGGGATCCAGGTAACAATAGGTTTCGGTAACGGTCTGCTGTAGACAACGACTGACTGTCCAGACAGGCATGTACCACTTGAATGTAGGCACAACTACACTGTTCGCTTTGCTTCACCGGCGTGCGTGTTTTCGAGCCTTGTAATGATAAACCCTGATGGGCATTCATTCTGGATGAACCTCGGCGAAAGGTTGAGATCTTGAACGATGCCTTCAGTTACTCCATGTTCATTTAGCCACATTCCGTTTTCGTTGGAACAGAACCAGTCTAACGGATTGGATGCATTGGCCATCTCACAGCTCCGTCTGTGACTCCGTACGGCTATCTGATGTCACGTACACAGCGACTCAGATATCGTTTATGGAGAAAGATATTTAGCAACAGAACCTCGTTTTTCCACACTCCCTTGCCTCTGTCGTAGATCACTTTGTAACACAGCTGTCACCTGAGTACTGGTCATTGAACGTTTGCTATGGTTGGTGTCCTGAACAGAAAACAACACGTTCAGGTAAACCCCTCTATAGCAACCACTTGTGGAAGACAATTGTTTCGGACAGGGTCAATAGTGTAGACAGCATTGGAATCTGGAGCTTGAACCTAAATGTAATGGACCGTAATACATCGCCCATTTTACCAAAAAAGCCCGGAATATAACGACAAACAACCTGAATAATCCTCAAGGAGTGACAGTATGATCACACATGGGACCGTTTAGGTGCGATGGCTCACAGTTTTCCTCAATTCGTGCGAATTGTCATGTTGATCTCAACCAGAATGGTGTTAATATCTCACAGCACTCAATCTGGTGATAGCCACTTTCAGTCCGCTCAGCCTGTTTCCTGCAGAGTTTGCATCACTATGGATTTGGGGCAAAAAACAGCGGTCTCTCTAGTAGGCAGTGTCTGGATATACGCACTACATGTTCCAGCTCTTTTAGGCTGCTCCAACGACCCTGCATCCTCACTTATCATCGCTTCACACGATTTCGCTGCGAACATGCTGAGGTCATTGAACTCCTGCTATACTGCGAAGGTACCGGTGATTAAGCGTCTGGTGACTTTTGAAGTGTTGAAGTCGGAGGGGTAAGGTTTCGCGATCGTAAAGAAGGCTACTGTTATGGCGTGCAGTGCACTCAGCTCAAGTGATTGAATAAGGCAAGTCCTTGAGTTTCGTTGACGCCTTGAGGACACGTTTACTGAATTCATTTATCACAGTATAATCTCAGCATATGCCATAGCCACAGTACGTCAACCGATCGGCAATCTCTTCACCATGAAGTTTCAAAGGAGATTCAGAATTTACACAAGCTAAAAACCACATTCCAAAGCAGGAGGGTACTTTGTTTCCAGGTTATACACTGTCCACCCCTCGGGCGTTTCCACTCAGGACAGGACTGGACGAAATGAGCTCTGCGGGACAGTCGGTCTTCTGACATGTGGGGTGCCAGCGTAATCTATGAAGCGTGAAGAACTCACCTGTTGCGGGGGAGTTCATTCTTTTTAGGGCTATCAGGCGTACCGTAGTATTATTAATCCGATGTTTCCACCAGACCAGACCAATGCTCCGGAGACACTGACGATCAAAAGCTGACATCTTTTGGATATCTTCTGTGCGTAGAGGCCACGCCTCTGATACATAAAGGAGCCACCGTGTAAACTCCGCTCTCAATAAACAAACTGACCACATCGGCACCATAGATGTCGGAGGTTTTGCTTTGTTTTTTGTAAAAGATCGGCAAAATCTGTCCTGGCCCCTCTGATTTGAGAAATAATATCGTCTCCAGCCAGTCTAGCGGAACTTGTACAACTGCCAAAGTAAACAAATTTATCTATCACGTTGACTGACCAGCATGAGGTTTGAGTTTGATTCCATCCAGTATTGTAGCAATATTTTACACTGCAGTTGTGAAGCACATGCCAAACCGCGCGGCAGAGTTATTTAGTTTATTCAAAATGGTTTGCATTTTTGGAGGATCTGGCTCAAAGAGTGGAATATCGTTCGCTTGCTCATTGTCTATAAGGAAATGTCTTGGGAGCATCTCGACTCCAAGGTTTCGGGGACAAGCAGAGAAATTTTAAGCAGCATATTAATAGATTTAATGCCGGAAGGTTAGAGAGGGTAACCTTGTCTTACACCAGTGGACGTGGTTAACTCAGGCGAAAGTTAGCCGTATACTCGTACGCACAAAGTGCCCTCGTAAGGGATATAACTTTGTGAGGCACACCCTTAATCGCCAGACACTGCCAAAGTTTCTTACGACCGACAGTGTCATAATCAGATATCAGATCAAGAAAAGCGACTAACATGGGAAGTTTGAAGCAGTGACGCTGTTCAAGATCTTATCTCAAAGTAATGACAAGATCGATGCATTCTCGATCAGACCAAAACCCAGCTTTATTTTCGCGGATATATTTCTGCAGATAATCGACCAACCTACGCAAAATAATGACGGACAGCTCACCATATGGGAAAGGTACCAGGCTAATGCTACGATGTTTTTCGCATGGTTGTCTTGCACCCTTTTTGAAAACTGGAATGACGGTCGAGGGGCCATATGCTGTTGGTATTATGTTTTCGTTCCAAATCTTTTTCAGTATAGACTTAGATTGTTCACCACCTTTAAAGAGTTTGGGGTGCATGCAAACCGTTCCAGGCGACTTGGGATTGAGGATCGATATCTGACGCTGGATTTCTGTTGTTGATGGTGGATGGTGTCGATATTCCACTCAGGCCCGCTGGTTTCTTCCAACGTTTGTGTTATAGGAGACCGGCTCAGCTGTTCTTTGAAGTGCTCAGCCCTTCGCTTCATCATCCTCATCGACAGCATGACATCAGTGTTCAACACCGATGCTTCACTGCTGTACAGCTATGATTTAATTGAAAACCTTATTGTGAAGAAAGGAATAAATGTGGACGGGAAAGGGAACTAGTGCTAGCTTAACACAATCATTCAGAGGTGCCTACACCTCCAGACGTTCACTCAGGCAAGCTGGATAGAAGCTGACAACAAGATCGCCACTGACATCGGTTGGCAGACATATCTTGTAATGTCTCGAACCAGGCACAGTGAGGATCACGAGGTCCCCATCCTGGAAGGCGAGTAGCACCGACAGCACCCAAGCGTTTCGTGATCTCCTTCATACTCCTCTGCCAGGTCA